ATTAATCTAATGTCCTTTATTTTCTCAGTAATTCACAATTCAATTATACTACACTTAATTATTTACAATCACTATCATCAACTTTCACAATTTACTCTACTTAAATGCACTCCCAACACGTTTACTTTACGATTTTACTGATGTTAACGCCAACGAGTTTACTTTATCACTAACTTGACTTGCAGCTAAGTGTCGCCTTTATATAGCAGTCGGCTGCTCGCAGACGAAAGCGTAGAAGCATCGAATTGTTCGCTATGGAAGGTTCTTGTTTTATCGTTTCTAGAACGTACTAGTTATCGGCTTCTCTCTTTCATCTGACATTCGCCTCGCATTTTCGCAACAATATGGTCATGAAAGGTATAAAGACTTCAGAATGACTGGAGACAGTTATCCTTTACCCCCTGCCTGTTAGAGGTAAAAGAATTTACCCGCGGTAAGACATACTTGTCTTAAAAGGCGACTGAAATCCAGTAGCTTGCGCGACAGTCGGGTCTTTACACCGGAACTAGCGGGATTTATATACGGCGAAGGACTGTCACTCCTGCAACATTCCCAAAAAACTTACTTTGGGAGATATTCTTCTTTCTTGGTTTTTGTTAGCATAGTCATCACCTAAATACCTAATTCAACTCAGTCACTCTACACAGGATGGCAAATTATAAGATCTCAATTTGAGGACTGGAGTACATATGGCTTCCTTTGATCAAACTTCTTATTTTTGTTTATTGGCATAGACGCCGTAAACGTACGCGAATAGAGCCGAGTTAACAATATTGGAATATACCAAGTACAGCCTGGTTCTTCTCAACCTGGAGGTCTTCCTCTTCTTCTGCTTTGACTGGCACCGGCACCGGATACTGCCCCAAAAACCATCAGAGTTGGAGTATTCTTATTCATCCGAACTATAGGCACTAGCCAGCGTAGCCGCTGTTTCTTGATTCGCTGAACTATGTCAATGTCACGTCCAGCTCATCATTTCATCGGCTGCAGTATTCGCTGTCTCCAACACGTACGCAAAATCTTTCTCTCAAAAACTTCTAGGGCCGACTCAACAGATCTTGTCATCGTCCATGCCTCCGCAGCATATAGCAAGTCGGAAAGCTAAACGACTTGTTAAGTTTGGTTGCTATTCGTCGAGAAGCGTACTCAGTCCAAAAGTAGTAGACAAAAGAGTTTCTGCGTTGGGTTTCAAGGCTGACATTGTTGTTGGTATTAATGCTGGTCTCTGATAGACGAAATTATAATATTTACGGCTTTGAAGTTAAAATTGTCATCAGTGATGTGGGAGTCAAGTCGCGAGTCGGATGATTGTTTAAAATCGAACTTTCCTTATGAAAACTACGTTCCAATAATGGAACAAACTAGCCTGATGTACTCTTTTTAAGCCGAGTTGCCTCATGAGGCCTGAGTTATACTGACAAAAAGATAATCATAGATATTGTGGTAGATTTACCTTTTACTTATCCAGAAACGATATCAATATACTCGACATATGCACAAAGATATGAAAGTCTAATATGCAAGGAGTACCCACATTACACCCTCCTCCTTCTACTACCCTAAAACCTAATCATTTACCACTGCTTTCTATTAAGTCTGAACCCAACCCACACTGAGAGCTTGTTTCCTGGGCTATCCGTTGGATGAATTAGGAGAGTTCAACTACCTTCATCCGCTTCTCAGTGAGATTACAGTCACCCATCGCGATCGGCAATGCCAAATGGGTATCAGTCGTTCCTTATCTTACTTCTTACTATTATACATTTCTTCAAGTTAGAAGCACCCCTACAAGCCGTTCGATACTAAACGAGGTTTCAGACAAGGGGGCTCTTTATCGAGTGACTTCTTTAATTTATTGGTGGAGAAAATAGTACAAACCGCGGGGATAAACAAAAAAAAGGTGTGATCTTCTCCAAGAGAATGCATCTTGATTTTGACATCAACTGCGCTATTCGTTCTACTTTCTCGGGACGAATGATTTTGGGACTCGGCTTCCAGGTGATTGTTGACAGTTCTAACTTCGAACTCATAGCTAACTTCGTCCATCTTGGAACCAGCATCAAAACCAGTAATAATGTGAGCCTTGAAATCCAGTGCAAAAATTACTGTTGCCAACAGGTGCTACTTTGAACTAAGAAGGCTTTCTCTCGAAGAACAGATACCATACTCTTCAAATTTCTCAACATTCACGTTCTACTTAATGGTGCAGAGACGTGGACGAAGACAATATCTGATGAGTCAACATTAGGAGCTTTCGAGAGAGGGGTTTTACGGAAGATTTATGGCCCTTTATGGATTGGAACTTTGAACTGTAGGAGATACAAGACATTGACATAGTTCAGCGAGCGAATAAAGAGATAGCAGGAACAAAAGATGATTCCTCGACTGTGCTAGAAAGGGTCAGGTCAGAATAGAGACCCGACTGTTTAGCCATTTTTTTTTTGGATGAGTATAGCAAAAAAGACGTTAAAATAAAATCAGTTACTGGAAAATTATATGTATATAACCACATTATTTAGCTCTCTGTTTGGGAGATGTTGACACTCTCCCGGTGTGTTCTATGCTTGAGCTTCTACTTCTTTAATATATATATTCTTGATATTCTTGATAGCCATAAATTTTGATTTGAAACCTTGTGTTTGGTTTTTTTTTTTTTTTATTAAGATTCTCTTTGAAAACCAACTCTGATTGGGAGTAGTATTCCAAAACTGGTCATTCGGTTAGGTTAGACCGGCTGATGCGCCTCTCACAGACACGTTGGTCCTTTGTAGTGCCAAATGGAGATCCATTTTATTTAGATCTAAAGTAATCGTCGTATAGGATGTCTGCGTTTTATGCGAAGTTCAAGAGAGCCTCCATTTCGATTTTTAAAGCTTCTTCTAGTCTTTTGAACTGCGAAGCTCAGAGGTATCTAGGACATTACGTATGATATGCCCTGCTAGGTAGGGGTTCAAGAATTTTTCCGCTGGTAAGGCATACCTGTCTCAAGAAGAGACTAAATTCCAAGAGTTCTCGCTACACTCGGGTTTTTATACTGGAACAATTTGGATTTTTATACAGCCAAGCGCTGTCACTCCCGCAACTTTCCACAAAAAATACTTTGGAGAAGGTTTTTGCGGCTACGACAACAACAACAGCAACAACACTAGTTCTACATGACCTTTAACTGTGCTGAAACAAATCAAAGCAGTTCACTCGATCCTGCTGATCGCTTGTTCCTGCTGATCGCTCGTTTAGAGTACTCGAGCGGAAGTCTCAGCTGAAAATTGAGATTGATTTGCGCTCAAAAAACATAAAGTCACTAAAATATTTGTTTTACTAGGTCCCGTGGGTTATAATTACATGTATTTATCCATCCAAAACTTTATATTGAAACGATCTCGATTTTCAGCGCTCCAAGGACGCAACACTTTTCTTTGAGACTACAACAATTTTTTTCAATTTCGCTAAATTAGCGCTTCGATGAACAGTTTTCAGCTTTCATTTGAACTTTTCTCGATTTGGAAAAAAAATCCGCGCATATCTCTCGGTGTCGAGGAGTAAAATGAACCAAACCCAGGTAATTAGAAGATTATGCGCGGGGTTTGAGTCCAGCAAATGTGTATATGTATGCATGTGTACATTTCTCATATTTTTTTCATATATATAAAGTGTACTAAAAAGGAATCCATTATTTTTTGCATGAAATTGAAGCCTTTGATTTTTTACTTTTCATATCCAGCCTCATTCAAATGGTTCCTCACTGTTTATTGTGCAATCTGCAGCTCTTGGGCAATCGAAACAGTGCTTACATGATGGTCGGACTCGACAATGTCAATACTTTTATCGACATTTTCGACTTCGTGAAGCATTTTTCACATCAAAATTATCGGAACGAAGCCGAAATTGTGCATGATTGCCTCTAACAGTGCCAGGACCATGAACACTATTCACATTTTCATTTTTCGTTTTCGCCCTTTTCGAAGAAAAACTGTAAAATAGAGCGTATTTTCTCTTTGCTGGTGTCCATCTTTGACGCACGCTCAAATAAAACTGAATCAACCAATGACAAAACTGTCAGAGAAGTTTTTTTCGTACGAAATGTCATCTTTCTAACCTCATCTAGCGGAACCTGATTGGATTTATACAACGCGAGATACAGATAAATAATGTCATCTATTGGAAAAATAATGGATTTCTTTTTACTACACCTAATTATTTTTTTTTATATATATATTTTGTCTTTATTGCAATTGGAAAAAATTTATTACCTCTGTTTTAGTTATAATTTCGAAAGTACATATATAAGCTGCTTTTATAAGTATATATAATATATAAAACAGTTTCATACAAAATATTATATTTAATTAAATTAAAAATATAAACATTAGGTAGAATCACAATTTTCAATTGTATACAAAATATAGTGTTAAAAATAAAGAAAACTCAATCTAAATATTTTTCTTATGATTTCCAAGCGATTTATATTTAAAGTATTTTTATTATTAATAAAAAAAAATTAAATAATTTTTGTTTACTTTTACGCAACGAATACACAAATAGGAAAGTGCCGCCTTAAATGGAATTTAAATTCATCAATAAAGTAAATTTAATTAGTTTTTTTTTGCTATGCATGAAGCTTTCTCCACTTTCGGAAGTTGTGCGCTACACTTTTGAAAACATTTTTACGAAACAATTTGAGTTGCTCGCTTACATACATATTTTTTCACATTTAATAGAAATAAAATTATACGCTTTGCAAAAAAGACCGTTGCTAATACACAGTTATGTTATTTATTATTAATATATAAATATGAACAGTTCATAGGGGAAATGTATGGGAGCGTTGCTAGAAATAAAGTTGCCATTACCACGAGGCAATGGTTAATACGTGTATGTATGTATGCAGATATTTATATAAGGGTGTGCAGAACATCTTTTTGTATGTATGTATGTGTATATATGGCTTTCTTAAAACGTTCATCAAAAATGTTTTTTTTTTTGCGTATATATTCGTTTCTAATATACATACATATATATATATATGCGTATGCTTAAAGCCACCATTTACTTTAATGCAGCGCCCAAAAACCCGCATCACAAGCCACTCAGTTGCACTTAAAGTTCTTTAGCCATTCAATTCAATACCTTTAATTTGGCCTTAAGCTTAAATCTTCAATACACGTTTCACCTCCACCGTTGGGAATGCCGCAAATTCGCAATTGGCCGCACGATGTGGATTGCGTTGCAGATATTCGGCGAGTATTTCGGCAGCCAAGTGATTGGCGCGCGTTGAGATCTCTGCTTTGGCGGGCAATTGTTGATGGCGACGTTGCATGGCCACAATCGATTCAATGCCCGTTGTATCTGGTTTCGGACCAGCCTGTAGGAGTGATAACGCCCATGCGTGCTTCATGCGCGTCAGCTCGCCTTCCAGTTCGGTGATGCGTTTATCCTTCGGTTGCGGCACATGTATGGGCTCGAATTTCTTTAGTTTTTCACGTATTTGCTGTGCCTGCATGCGTAAGCGTGTATTGCGTTCATTGTGCAGCACCGTCTTTAGCAGTTGCAACTCCTCAGCAATGATTGGTGTGCTGCCAGTAACGCCGTGATGTGCAAAAGCCGCACCACTGCTGCTTGTCGTTGTAAGTGAGGAGTCGGCGAAACGTTTAGGACCGCCACCAGTTGTCTTAAGTTTCTCACGCAACGTGCTCTTCTCACTCTCCAACGCTTCAATGTCACTTTGGAGATGATCGAGCGTCACCTCGTACTCCTTCTCCTTCTTTTGCAATTGTTCTAGCTGCGCATGCGCCTCCTCATACTGACGCTTCCACTTCTCTACGGTGTGTTCATATTCGCTTTGCAGCACCGAAAGTTTCTTCTCGGCCAAATCTTTGCGTATTTGCATCTCAGAAAGCTCGTTTTGTTTCAGTTTGGCCGCCAGCTTCAATTGTTTTATATCCGCTTCACGGTTTTCGAGTGTCGCTGCGAGCACATTCTTTTGCTCCAGCTGTTTCTTGATGAGTTGTGCGCGTGAAATGATCGGAGAAATGGGTTTCTCTTGCTTTTGATTCGCCAAGGACATGATCTCGTATTCCTTATCTAGCAAATACTGTGCCATTTGTTGCAAATCGCTATTTGCCTGCGCTAACATACCCTTGAAGTTTTGCGATGGGCCACGATCGTCCTGTTCGTAGACACGTTCACACGCCTGTGTGAGCAGTTCCCAAAATTTCGAATGCTCAATCGTATGCTCAGCTGTGTTGTCCGATTCAATTGAGGCAGCTATGAGTTGGGCACCCTGTTTTGTGGCCAAATGCATGACGGACATAATGCGCGACAGCGTATGTGCCATCTGACGCATCGCCTCCAGTTTGAGTGGCGATATGCCGCATTTGATGACATGTATGTCCTGCGGTAGGCGACGCTTAATAAGTTTAACCTGTTGTTTGATGGCCTCCGTCTGTTCATTGAGGTATTGCATGAGTAGCATAGAGTCGCTGGTATCACCGCCTTCACGCACAATCGTACGTGCAATGGTAACATCATTCAAAATCGACTCACAGGCCGAACCCAAAGCAGCGACGCAATCACGTATCATTTGTGTTTCATTGAGTAGATCTTCGCCGGCTAACAACACTGAGTTCATGGCATTAAAGAAAGCCACACATTTCTCTATATTCTCTGTGGTGGAATTCTCATCCAATTGATTCGATTTCAACAACTCAATAATACCATCGATAGTTTTCTCCTGTGCAACCATTTCGGGCAGTGAATTGCCGGCACGCAACAATGTATCGGGCTGACAGCTGTTGAGTCCGTAGAGTATTTGATGGAGTGCACACTGTAGATTGTGTATGTAGTGCATGAGACGACACTTGAAGGCATACTGTTGCACAGAATGTCCTTGGAAAACTGCTTCACGTGTCACATTCTCAACCGCGGGGAAGCGCTCGCGTGTCTGGCTGACTACAATGCCGCATTTGAAGACGATGCGTGAGATTAATAAAATTACCAATATCGAATCGTGATCACCACCACGACTCATAAACGATTCGGGCATAAAAGCGGTCAACATTTGCACATGCTCATTCGCTTGCGTCAACTCGATTTGGCGAAGCTGCACATCAATGGCGCGTGTATACGCTTTGGATTCGGCAAACATTTGCTTATAATCAATTGTTTCACTAGCGATCTTAACGCCATTGGCATCTTGCAGTGATTTCGGATCATTGTTGGCTGTACGATCACGCAAATCTAATAGCTGTTCGTTCAGTTTCTGTACCAGCTCGCGGAATTTGGTGATTGTCTGATCGCGATCGTAGATAGTCTCAATAGCGGCATCACGTTCACGCAGTGCCTCCTTACGTGCGGCACTCATCAAATCCAACTCTTCACGCAAATCCATTTCCAATTCGTGGTTGCTCTCCACCAGCTGTTCGTGTACTTCCTCAAGTGCCTCCAGCTGCGCTACCTCTTCCTCGAGCATTTTCACTTTATCTTCAAGTTCCATTTTCTTTTCGGCCAATTGTTCGACCATCTCTTCAGCGCCGAGTGCTGCATCGACTTGTTCCTGTAGAGGGAGTGAAGGAAGGATTAGTCAAAAAGAAAAAAAAAAATTATTAAGAAAGCGAAAGAAGCTTAAGCGATTTAAAGCGAAATGATATGGCAACTCATAAAAAAAAGATCGTTGGTGTATCCGAATTGAAATAACAAAGCATTTGAATATTTTGAATTAATTGTTTACCTCCTGAGCCCCAGTTTGGCAAGCAGTTATGAGGAAGAAAAGGAAGAAAGATGTTTCGATTAATTTCAGTAATCTTTACTTTGTTTGTGCCAATGGTACGTGCCATAGGGCTAAGCGGAGCACAACGGACTACTTTTGCAGAAGAAGTGCGCCGGAGCAAACTTGTGTTCATTAAAAAAATAATAACAATAATAAATGATAAACTAAGATTGGCACTGGCATGTGTAGCCCCGATAAAATTTGTGATAGGAGTGCACTTAAATAAAACCCGTTATAAATAATAGAGGTATTGCAGCTTTCGGGAATAACTTTGTGTGAACTTTTTCAGGAATATGAAACACAAAAAATATGAAAAGTTGTATCTGAACATAGAGAAAGGTATTAACAAGTACATATAACCATGAGTGGCAACGTGAATGTAAACTCTCCGAAATTCTTGCGAATCTTCAAAAAGTTAAATCTCTAAATTGAGATTTTGTTTTAGTTTCAAATACTTAATAACTTCCATTTCACGCACGTTGCCCATCTGCCCACCCGGAGACAACACTTACCTGCAAGTCGGCGACTGTCGCCTCTAATTCATCAATTTTGCTCGATAACTTCTCCTTTGTACGTTCCAATTCAGCCACCTCAGACTTTTTCATTTCCAATTCCTTTGTCAACTTCTGTATATCGTGCTTGTCATGAGCAGATAGGTCGCGCAAACGTACTAGTGTCTCCTTCAAACGTAAATTCTGTTGTTCTAATTGTTTGAATTCATATGTGGACAAAACACCACCACCTTCGCCGGATATTTCACTAATCGAGGTCTCAGCTTTGTTTTGCATCTCAGAACGCAACAGCTCTAAGTCTACTTGCAGTTCTTCAATGCGCTCCCTGGCCGATTCTAATTCGAGTTGTAATGTGTCTGCCTTTTCCTCTGCCATTTCCTTGTCTAGCGTAATGAGTTCAACATTATCGGCCAATTCGGACATTTCCTGTGCGTGTCTTTCGCGTGCTTCGATAGCATCTTTTGTCTCTTGCTTTGCACGCTGCAATTCTTTTTGCAACGAAGCCTGTGCTGCCATAATTTTACTACGGAACTCTTGTAGTTGCTCAAATTGAATTCTCATTTTATCGAATTCGCGTAGACGCTCTTTATCTTCATTGCGTCGTTGCTTTAGAGTTTCAAGTTTTTCATTTAAATCGGTATTTTGCGTCTGTAAATCTTCGATAAGTTTCTGCTGTTCAGCTGCTGCTGCTTTCTCCTCGGCTGTTGGTCCTTGTGGAGTGGCTGTGAAAGAAGGTGAGCGCGTTGGCTGTAATGGCGTAAATTGCGGCTTGAGAATCTCAAGGAAACCCGTTTCGACGAAGGAAGCACGCTTCGAAGTTGAATGCGAGGCATTACCATTACCGCCACCCTCAGCCGTGGGTATAGATGCACTGGATGCTGTGGCAGAGCCTATAGTGCGATCCCTGGCTGTTGTACTGGGTGGTTGTAAACTCTTCCGGCCGCCACTTGAACTACTTGCTGTGCTACCACTACGTTCGATAAGCGATGTCGACAGTTGAGTGCGTGAGCCCAGCAATGATTGGCGGCTGGAAGAGAGCGAGTTACGTGACCCGCTCAACCGTGCTTTAGTGGGTTGGGCTATGGGCGTTCTGGCACTACTGCTGCTACTCGCCGAATCAGCAACATCCTCAGAAGACTTCTTGGAATCCGGACTGCCGCCAATGACACGAAGTTGTGTTGGTCGCACAAACATACCATAATTTTCTCCACATTCAAAATATGTCTGCCCTTTGATAACACCATTGTTTTTACCTTTCGGCTCATCAAGCACCACGCCCACCCACTTGCCAACGGCGAAGTGGGTCATACCAACATAGGCAACGGTTCCTTGTAGATCCTTGCCGGTTATGTCGACCCGCGCACCTACTTTTAAACTTCTCTCCGACATTTAGGCCCGTGTCCGTTACAGTATCCCGGTGCCGTAATTGATGATCTAAATTTTTTACTTGATATAGATGTGTGTGCGTGTGTTGCTAATAAAAGCGTTGAAGCCTGTAAATAGTTTAAAAATAAATGCATGTCAACACAAATAAACAAACAAGTGTAATGTGAAATAAAGCAATTCGGGTACCAACAAGCGGAACGGTAAGTTGGATGACGTAGACCTTACCGACCAATCAGCCACTCAAACAGTTAACTAATATGCCAACGTCGTATGGGTGTCGAAAATATGTGGTAAGAAAAGTAATAACAAAAATTAGTCATCCTCCCTGTTTAGGTATTGGTCTACTTAGGGCAATTGAAAACAGTGTCTGAGATCACAAGCCCACTTTTCAATTGCTTTAATACTACATACCAAATTGTTTTGTTGCCTCTGTACGCTTTGCAAATTGCACACCTATGATTTGATACACCAAACTTATTTTATAACTATTTTTTATAAGATTCTGCAATTTTCCAACTAGTGCGAAAAAGTTGAGAAAAAGTTTTGACAGACGACGTAAAAAACTTGGACGAGAAAATATTAAAATCAACGCCGACAACTCAATTTATCTTCGGCGGCTTTTAGTCAACAGCTGTGCCAAAATATTCATCTAAGTTTGTTGTTGTACTGTGTTTGCACAGCGCTTTACTAGAGCCCAATAGATGGCGCCAAAAACTTATTCGGCAGGTGAAAATGTTTACTCACGGTTAGAGTTTGAATGTTTAAAATGTGAAAGAGTTAAACAGTTATATGTACATGTATACAGCTATTCTATCCATTCCATATTAAACATATCAAAACATATCGATCTTCTTCGCTCTGCTGATCGATTTTGCTAAAATTCGGCGCGTGGCCCAATTAGAATTGAAATATATATGTTACACATATAAACTCAACAGCGGCTTGTATTTCCGAATTATCGTAACTTTGATTCGACATCTGTGATTGAAGGATAACTACATTTCCATTCATACCCCTATTCAGATCCGATTTCTGTTTTGGGTTTGAATTCAATGAATATTACATTTATTTCAATTTTTTCAATTTTGTTTTTTAATTAATTTCTTTCGTTTTATATTCCATTTTGCGTGTTTATATCACGTTAATTTATTTGAATATATTCATTTTTGTTTTTTATTGGTTGTTTCAATTTAATTTAACTGACCTTTGTTATTTTTATTTATTTTATTTTTAATATTTATTTTATTTATCTTGAATTTATTTCATTTTTTATTATATTTTAACTGTTATACTTTATTTTGTTTTATACTTTATTTCGTTTTATATTTTATTTTATTTACTTTTATTTAACTTTAATTACTTTAATTCAATTTAGTTTAATTTTATTTTATTGTACATGATTTTTTTTTATTTTATTTATTTTTTATTTTCTGTTATTTTATATAATGTGCTCATTTTATTTTAATTGTGTTAATTTGATTTATTTTATTATATTTTTTTTTTAATTTTAATTTTTTATAGGTTGTTAAATTCTATTTGCTTAGGTTGTTAAATTCTATTTTTTTTAACTTACTTTAACATGTATAACCCTATTTAATTTTATTTAATTTTGCATTATTTAATTAAATTAATTTTTTTTTTACCTTAATTTGTTTTATTTATTTAATAACTTAATTTAAGTTAAATTAATTTTATTTCTTGTCTTTTTTACTTTATTTTGATTTTAATTATTTCATTTTAGTTTATTATTTAACATTAATTTTTATATGATATTTTATTTAATTTTCTAGATTATTTTTTTATTTAATTTTATCTTCTTTTAATTATTGCAATTTAATATTTTTCTCTTTTACGTTATTATCTTTTTTAATAAACTTCATTAACCTTAATTTAGATTAAATTAATTTAATTCTTTTAGTTGTTTTATTTAATTTTGATTTTTGTTATATAATTTTATTTTACTCAAATTTTAATAAATCCCATTTCATTTCTTATTATTTTATTTTATATTTATTTATTTAATTTTTTTTTATTTTTTTTTTTTATTCTACTTAATTTTTATTTTTTTATTTTATTTTATTTCAATTTAGATGTGCTATTTGATTTAGTTTAGTTTTATTTTAGTTTAGTTTAATTTAATTTTGTTTAAACTTGTTTTTGATCATTTGATTTTTTTTTACTTATTTTTTTTATTAATTTATTTCATTTTATTTTACTTACTTTTTTAATTTATTTCAATATATTTGACTCTATTTTATTATTTTACTTTATAATTTTATTTCATTTTTTTTTGTGTTATTTTATCTCACTTTATTTTATGTCATTTAGTTTATTTTAATCTATTTTTGTTTTATTTAATATAATATAATTTAGCTTAATTTAATTTTGTTTTACTTAGAAATTGTTTTCTTTTATTCTATTAAATTTCTTTTATTTTTCATTATTTATTTAACACAATATTTTTTCATTCTGTTATTTAGTTCTTCAATTCATTTTGTTCCATTTGCTTTGTTTTTAAGTCTACCAAGTCATAAAGCGCATCTCCCTAACGTTAAGCTTCGTAAAATCTGTCCCAACATTGCTTTTATGCTAATTTATTTGGCTCGTCTTGAGCTTTACATTTTGTTGTAAGATCTTAATAGGAAAATTAGTTTTTGATTACTTAATTTACTTTACAAATTACAAATAATCGTGCATATACAGTGATTTCAGGAAATTGCATTGAAATAGCTAATTTTTCAAATAGTCAAAAATAATTTTTATTCTCGAAAACATTTACTTAAACTATTTTTCTCACGTTATAATTTACAATTCCAACTTTAAATTGTTTAATACTCTTTTATTTTAATTTTTTGCCATGTATATAGAATTCTAATTAAATATTTTAATTTATAATAAAAATTAATTTAAATTAGACTGATACTTAAAATAGTCATAAAACTATAAGCCTTATATATATACATTAGTTTTCTTTAGAAAACTCTGCTGTTGGAAATTTAGTACGAGTATAATGTCTAAAAATTCTAGTTCATTTTTGGAACCCTTTTCCAACTCACTGTACAGGAAATGTATACGCGCACATATTTACATTCAGATGATTTCATGTATTGGGACACATAACGCAAAAGACTAAATTGCTAGAGAAAGTAAGAAACGATCGTTTTTAAGCATTTAAGCCCAGCAAACTTTTATTAAATTAAATATTTCAAATATTAATTAAGTACATAATATATTAACTAAGTATGCTACTTAATGATATAAAATGAACTAGAAATTTATCAACATACAAAATTATACAATTTTTCTTTAAAAAAAATCTTATCATATCAAGATAAGTAGATAGTAAATAAATTAAAAAATTAATTAACATATCCTTAAAATAATTTATATTGAATTAAATAAAGCATATAATAATTAATAATTACAGGTCAAAAGAACCTCAGATCCTTTACCCACTGTGGCATAGTGATCGCAAAAAAATTAGATTATAACCTAAAAGTTTGCTGGGTGTACCGCCAAGCTCTATACGCTGCCAATAGAATTTTAGATACCATATTTTTCGGTACTCGGTACGCCACTCAATGTACAAGCATGGGGCAATTGTTGTCGACTGCTACGGTCATAAAACAAAATTGTTCATTACTGTTATTGTTGTAACAAAGTATCAATAAAAATAATTTACTCGTGGCTTGTTATATAGTACGTATGTAGGTTTGTACATGTGAATGATTTATTTCGTTTACAGATTAGAAAATTGGTGATTTAGTTTAAGATTTTTTTCGCAAATGTCAATGCTCAGTTGTCGATCAAAAAGCATTCAGCACCAGCAGAAAGAAAGGATTAAGTGAATTCTAAAGGATTATATTTACATTTTACACATAGAAAAACTTTTCGATTGTATAGAGAAAAGTTAAGTGTTCTGAAATACTTTTACAATTAAAAAAAATGGAAGAAAAGGTAAGAGAAATTAAGAATGTACTGATGATTGCTGAGTGTAATGAAATTACAAATTTACTGAATAATAATAAAGAAAAAATAGTAAACAAACTATAGAAATGAATTCCTGGCGCGTGTGTGTATGAGTGTGTTGACTATGTGTTACTTTGAATGTATTGAGAACCCCAACAGGAATTAACTTCATCTCCTCATTCGATAAATACATAAGAAAAAACCCATTTAACCCGCATTGGTTTGGTAGCACATCCTTGGAACTAAAGTTGAAGTGGCAACTGTACTGGCACAGAATTTTAATTTGGCACATTTTTGTATTGACTGTTTTATTGCAATTAACGGCACCCATTATATGGTCGCAAAATTTATGATGGAGATATTTATTAAGTGTTATTGTTAACAGCCAATAAAATTGGGGTTATCGAAAGTTTCGAGGGTTTCCTATATGCTCTAAAATAAAATAAACCAAATTAAAGTGAAATAAAATAAAATGTAACGAATTAAAATAAAATAGAATAAAATAAATAAATAAATAAAAAAATGGAATGAAGTAAATGTAAAAAAAAAAAAAATATATTAAGTAAATTAAAGTTAAATTACATAAAATAAAATTATTGAAAATAAACTAAGGTAAAATAAAACAAAATGAACTAATAAATATAAAAAATATTAAATGCAAATAAAATAAAATCAGAAAAAAATTAAAACAAAATAATATAAGAAAAACATAAAATATAATAAAGTTGAATAAAATGAAATAGGATAATTTGCAATAAAATAAAACAAAATAATAAAAATTAAATTTTAAGATAATAAATTGAAAAAATGAAATAAAAAAATAATATAAAATAAAATAACACTAAAAATTAAATAAACCAAAGTAAAGTGTTATAAATATAAATGTAACGAAATAAAATAGAATATAATAAAGTAAATAAATAAAAAAAAATAGAATGAAGTAAATGAAAAAAATCAATATTTTAAGTTAAATAAAGTAAAATTCATAAAATAAAATAATTAAAATAAAATAAGGGGAATAAAATAAATGATAATAATAAATATAAATATATTAAATAAAAATAAAATAAATTCAGTTGAAAAATATATAAAAAGATATTAAAAATCTTAATATAAGAAAAAAATGAAGTAAAATAAAATGAAATAAAAAAGAATAATTTTGAATAAAATAAAACAAAATAATAAAAATATAATAGCGTAAAAAAGCAAATAAATTAAAAAAAAAAAACAAATCATATAAAATAAAATAAAACACAATTAAATAAAATAAATTAGGAAAAGCTAAGAAAAGCTAAATGTTAAAAGTTAAAATAAAATAAATACATTAAATCAAATGAAATAGATAGTGTAATTAAAAATCAAATAAAATGGAATAAATTAAATTAAAATAAAATAAATTTAAAAAATTAAGTAAAATGTTATTAAATAATTTTAAATAAAATTAAGAAAAAATATAGTAAAAATGAATTAATTAAAATAAAAGAAACATTATATTAAAATATTTTAATATAAGATCTAAACATAATTTAAACAAATTAAATATTATTAAATTAAACTAATTTATTGTAAAAAACTAT